GATACCTTGACACTTTACCGTGAATCATTTTATTCTAGTGAATAGATTCGAGAATAAAGTTTTCGACACAGGACTGAAAGAAATCAGCATGCAACTTGTGTGGCAGCTGCCAGCCAGCCTTCCGTTCCGCGTCAGACTTGTCTGGCCAGAGGGTTGAACAGCAGCACGAACAGGCGAGGAGAGCCGATTCAGTTGATTGACTGTTGGCATCATGGTGTCGCCGTGCCTCGGAGTGCCGGGATGCAATGTGCATTAGGGGCATCCGGAGGAGACGCTGTGGCAGGCAGCGGAGATCGGCAGGACCCATACGTCGGAGCTCCTTTGTCTCAACGTAGGCAGGCCAACTATCCCGCATGTACGCTCTACCATAAACAGCCTGCAGCGGAAGACGACGGCTGTCTGTCCACCGAACCGGGGTTGCCATCCATAATCTGACCACCATTCCCTGATCCGTCCTCTGCGCCAATATATCCTTCCAGGTCCCACACCACCAGGCCCTCAATCGAGTCTGAATGCATAAATTAGGTTTCCTTCATATGTCTGCGTACAATAAGCAGGTAGCAAATGGAAAAGACTTGGCAGTATCATGCTGATCACACACACCCCAAAATAATGAGAGCATTTCGCTGTCCGAGCCGGTCAGCAGACTGGAGTGGGAATGGGCGCGGTGGCTGGCATGGTCGACTGGCCATGCCTGCGTGCGCCACGTGCACGACCAGGCCCCCCATACAAACACATACACGGCAGAGTATCCATACAAGTACTGCTATTTTTCTCGTTCCATTTCTAAATTACGTATGCGCAGAAACTAGACCGCGCGACAATCAATATTTCATATATTCCAAACTGAACATGACTATTCGGTGAGAGTCATTTTGGTGTCAAAACCTAGGGTTAACGAAATGACAAAATAATTTCGGCTCTTTTAAACAACCAATTCCCCCGATGCATCATTACTGCACTTTAGGGGACGAAAACGCACAGACCTGCTAATCTGACCTTTGAAAATCGATAAAATGTTTGGCTATCTAAAATAACCCCAGTGACAGCAAACTGATTCCCATAGCTAGAATCGGACAAAAAAATCACTTTTCAAGTGTGCCAACCTCTATCTGGTAAAACTCTCCAGGGTAAATTAATTCCTTTTGAAAGAACAGAGGTTGTCTGCAAGATCCCATGTGCCAGTTGTGATGCCGTCTATTGAGGCCAAATTGGGAAATCTGTCTCAACCCCTACAGATGAACGTCAGTTAACGGTTATGAGGAGACGGGCCATCTAACCCATGACAGAACACTCGAATATTTGGAGTCCTTCTACCAATAAGGATGCACTGTGAATTCCTGGAAGTAATTCACTCAGATGTGCCGTGCATCAATCGGCATCTCGGTTTAGATGCCACTCACAAATTCCTCAGGGAAAAATGAAAGCCAGCGTAGCCAATGTCGAGGGCATGAAGAAATGCAATTGACGCGCAATGGCGCAAGCTTCGGCCAACTGCAGAATCGCTTGTTCGACAGGGTTAAAGGGTGAACTGTTTTTATGTGTGTCCCATAAGTCTGACAACGAGCTGGGGAACCCGTATCGAAAATGTGTGCGCAATAAGGGTAATTTTGTTCCCAGATAATCTCGCCTACTGTAAACGAAGATGTTCTCATGGGCCACGTGCAGTCAACACAGACGTTGACGTTTCTCCTTCCTTGCGTGTGTATATGTTCATGCTGAAGAAGTCAGTTGAGGAAACAACAAACCTTGTTTCGGATATTTTACAACTTATTACCCTAGGTCATCGTCCTCAACAAAAGAGCGAGCCCGGCAAGCATTTTTAAACGCGACATCCGAGAACCGCTCCAGACCACACACACATGCATGTATAGGTTCCTAGGGCAAGTAATGAATCTTGTTCCGCAAACTGTCGTTGCAAAGTAGGCAAAACAGTTCACTCTCTAAACGTGCCTTAAAGTCAACGATTTCCTAACGAGCGCACCAATGAGCGGTCTCTGTATGCTCTTTGAATTGGTTGCCATCACTTCCGCTTCTTCCCAACATTTTTCTACGGCGCTTCCACAACTCAATATGCCGCTTGATGTAAGAGTCATTCGACTCACCTCCATAGTAGACTTGTGTCCGATATCCAGTGCATGTATGGCTTCATTGATGATCATAAATGTGTGTGTGTGTGTGTGTGTGTAGTGGCCGATTTGCTAGTTTCGTCAGAGCATCCTGAATCGCAGACAGAACAATGACTGTTGTATACGAATTCACGCTTACCTAGCTGGTCTACCCAATCCTGAGGGTGTACCAACAGTGTACGCATTGTAGTTGTCGACTAGTGGGCCACTTATATATGGTGTATCCTCGTGCGACATTCTACAACGTCTATCTAGGTATATATCTACACCAGTTGGTAAAAAAACGCAGTGCCAAGCCGCCCCAGGGAACGTACTCATTTCTGTTAAGACGCTGTAGGAAGTCCATGTAATCAGTTCTGACGCAGCCGAATGGACCGGGAAATAGGAGGATATTGTTTGATCCTAGGCCCTGGCGAAGATAGTGTATCCTGGTGGAAAAAACCTCCTCGTAGGCACCAAACAGGTGGGTGATGTGGTGATCCCTGTTGCCAATTGGAGAGGAGGGAGGTAATGCGTCGTTGCCGAAACCGCTGACGAAAGGACGCAGTAATCGATCACAGACGAGCAGTCCTTGGCGTCCATTAATAGGATTGGGCTTAAACATGCCCTTTCTACAATGATTCCGATAGGAGAAGATGCAGTTATATGCTCTAAATTGCAAACAATCGACGCATATATCAGTGCACTACCTGGTGCAGCATAAATGCAGATATATGTGTACAATTTACCCGGAATGACGGGAGGCATCGGCATGTAATATTACTTAGATATGATGGCAATATCAGTGAAGACATGCCCGTGATTTGCCATACTTCCTTCCATGCAGGACGCAGCGCATAGCCTTGCACACCAAATGCGGTGAGATGGACGCAAGGAGGAGTGTCACGTCGAAGAACATTATCGCCTCGTGAAGCACCATTTTGACTCGCGGGAATTAGTGAGGAGTGGAGATGCCGATTTTACTGACGTCCCAGATGAACCTCAAAGAAGATGTGGGGTTTGTGAGTCATCCGGCTGACTGGGCTGCCGCCGAGGGCTACGATTAGACGAGGTAAAAGGTGGGATTTGTGGATTTGGGGTAATCACTAGCATCTGGCTGACGCTCTGCCAGTTGATTCTAATTAATGCCATTCGTCAAACCCATACCTACGCTGAGTAAGAAGACCGTTTAACTAACCTGTCCTGCGACGGTGGCGGCGGCGGCGGGGATGTTGCGTGGTAGGACAGTCAGCGGTTGAGGCGAGCTTGTGTGCCTGTGGCAGTCCGTTCTCCTGGTCGCCAGTCTGGTTATTCTCTCATGACGCCTTCTGTCAGCTTAAGTATCACCTCCTGCCAATTGCAACGCACGTGACATGGCCACGTCGTGGAGACAGCTTGAGCCCTATCGGCGTTGTGTCATTTGCTGATCCGGATTGTAGGCGGTCAAAGGTCATCTGTTCACGGACGCACGCACTCACGCACGCAAGCATTCGCGCACCGCGCTCGTCGCACCTTGCCTTGCTGAAATAATTCTCGCCACTGCCTTCCGATCCGCTTCTGCACTCCTCTGTCACAGTAAGGGCTGCTCGACCAATTCTCTGTCTCAGTCTTCTGTTTCCACAGCAATCAACACCTCCTTCATTTCCATGTGTGTACCTCTGGGTACAACCATTCCATTGTGCGGTTATCTAACAAGGCGCACTATCAAAAATGCATGCTCCATCTCCTAGCCATTATTATTATTATTATTATTATTATTCACTTGTGTCCCGCAGGGCGCACGAAATTTCTTGCGCCCGACTCAGAAGGCACCGCCGTCTATACCATACCACCACATCTCTCCTCACCAGCATCTACTCGACACCACACAACGCTAGCAGGTGATTGGCACATCTCTCCTCGTAAGCCGCAAGTGTTTCCCGGCTCCTTCTGCATGTGGCCCCTCTGGTGCATGTGTGATCCGAGCCTGAGACTGTCACGATGCGTTAAACTCCGTGATGACTTGCAAGACTGCCAACTACCGATGGAACGCAGACCTTGCATTCAGCCCAAGGTGCGTTTGTGCACAATGGCCGACCGGTGGACTAAGAGTCAGGCTGGAATGCCTCCTTCGCGACGTGACCTCTGACACTCACACACACATGACATGCATGTCGCCCACCCCCTTTTGTGTGAGATTCTGGTGCTTGTGTCTGGGGGAGGAGGGAGCGGTCAGGTCTTGTGTGTGGCAAGTCCAGACGAAGTGGCTAGATTTGTCGGTCACTGCGTCCACTCCCACCTGACCAGCTCGGAGTGCGATTGGGACTGAGGGAGTAAGATCATGGTGGTCTCAGCACATATTCCTTTTTATAAACTATCTGACGAACTTGAAAGTATCATGGTGCGCTAAAAAGCCATGACTTGCAAGGTTGCCTACTGACGGGATACCACAGGCCTCGCAGCCAGCCCAGTGCGGAGAGGCCGACTGCTGGGCTGAGAGTGAGGCTGCAATGGCTCCTTCTTAACATGGCCTCTATGGCACTGCCACTGCGTGAGAACCTACTCGCGTGTAGTGGACACGGCCAGTTGCGGACATTCGTCGTGCCAGCCATCTGCGCCCTCTGCACTGCATTCGTCCCGCATGTCACCGTGACCTAAATCGTCCCTGCCCTCGTCGGCCACGAAGATGGTTTCCGCGCGATGCGTCTCACTAGCCTCACGACAGCTCGAATCCGTGGAGTCACTGTGTCCCCTCTAGAATTTTGGCAGCAACTCAGAACTCTACGCTTTACGTATCGGTGCCACCTTTGACTATGCCAAGACAACTCAGACTAACTGAGGCTCTTCCCCCCCCCTCCCCACCCTACCACCATTCTCTCAGACGTTTAAACTGTCTTATGCGACGCTCTCACTGATGCTCCTTACACCGAGCTTCTTCGACCCACTCCACATTCTGATCCTCAACGCTACCATGAACTCGTAAAGGAAGAAGGTTTAGGCGACCGCAAGTCCTCTGGACTTCTCCGCAGCAAAGTCCATAAAGGCTTGCCTAATGAGTTGCAATATAGACATGACCGACTAGATCGCCTTCGAGCAGTTCAGTATTGGCTAGAATGAGGATGTAATCCAAACACCCAAGTATTTCCGACTGTCAACCTGCTGCAATGGTGTACCGTTTAGAAAGTAATTCGTGGGCTTGGAGTCTCTGCATCTGCTGACTTGAAGAATGTGGTACTTACTTACGTTGAAGGGCATAAGCCAGCGCTTC